TTTAATGTGTCTGTTGGCTGCTCTATATCTTCTTTTGAGAAGTCTTTATTCATGTCTTTTGCCCTTTTTTAATGGGGTTGTTTGTTTTTTTTCTTTTGGCATGTTTGAATTCCTTGTAGATCCTGGGTGTTAGGCCTTCTTCAGATATACAGTTGAAAAATATTTTTTTTCCCATTCTCTGGGCTGTCTCCCCACTCTCAATGGTCTCTTTTGGTTGTAGAAGTTTGATGAGGTCCCACGTGTCTATTTTATCTCTTATGGCATGGGCGTAAGTGCTTTTGCTCAGGAACTGGTTGCCTATTCTAGTTTCCAAATGGATGTCTCCTATTTTTTCTAAGATTCTTATAGTTTCAGGTTTTACATTTAAGTCTTTGATCCATTTGGAGTTGATTTTTGTGTATGGTGATAGATAGGGGTCCTGTTTCATTCTTCTGCATGTGGTCAGCCAGTTTTCCCAGTACCCTTTACAAAATAGGTTCTCCTCTCCCCAGTGATTGTTGGCTTTGCTGAAGATGAGTTGGTTGAGAAGTTGAGGTTTTGATTCCAGAATCTCTGTCCTGTTCTATCGTCCTGTTCTTGTACCAATATCAGGCTGTTTTGATTATTGTAGCCTTATGATAAAGTTTAAAGTCTGGGAGTGTGATACTTTCCACTTTGTTTCTTTTGCTGAGGGTTGTTTTGGCTATTTGTGGTTGTTTTTGTTTCCACACAAATTTCTGTATTGTCATTTCCAGGTCCAAGAAGAATGATGGTAATTTAATGGGTATTCTGTTGAATCTGTAGATTGTCTTGGGTAGGATGGACATCTTAACAATGTCTGTGTTGATTCTTCCAATCCATGAGCATGGAATATTTTTCTATTTGTTTGCATCTTCTTTGATCTCTTTGAGCACTGTTTTGTAGTTTTTGTTGTAAAGGTATTTCACATCTCTGCTTAGGAAGATGCCAAGGTATTTCTTTCTTTCTTTTTTTGGTGTGGCTATAGTAAATGGGATTGTGATTTTTATTTGGTCCTCTGCCTGTCATTCGTGTATAAGAATGCAACTGTCTTTTGCACATTGATTTTTACCCTGAGACTTTCTTTTGCCAGTTTAAAATCATAGGCCCTTCAGTAGAGGGTAGAGAAAAAGTTGTTTGCCCTTCCTGACAGCTGGGTCAACAGCCACAGATGGCACTGGCTGGTGGGAAGAGGGTGAGCTCGGAAGTGGACAGAGCAGTGCTCAGATCCCAGCCCCACAACCAAACAGAGGTCAGCAAGTTATAGTCAGGCTCTGCACTCATTTCTGCATAAGGATGCTGAGTATACAAAGACCTCACATAGGATCATTGGGAGACGGAAGTAAATGAGGTCAAGTTTACAGAATATGCTTCCAGCGGTTCCTCAAAAATGATTCTAATGATTTCTACAGTGATGTCCTTTGCAGTGGTCTGTGGACACACAGCAGTATAAGCTCCGAGGGCAGGGACTGTTTTCTCCACCTCTTGCGTCCTCTACTGTGGAAGCCATTCTTTTTGTCTCTGTCTACAGACTTTGCTGCTTGCTTTCTGGGAACAGATCCTGCTCTACCTCACCTCCACACACAGCGGTGGGCTCTGACCCGACAGGCCCAAGCCAACCTTCCTGTCACAGCAATTAGTAGTCCAGAGATGGCCACATAACCCACCCCTTGCCAATCTTTCCTAGAAGGGCAGGAAGGATCCCTTTGGCCTTTGGGTTATTGATAAAAAGATGCCAAACTCCATAAAAAATTTTAAGATGGTTTATTCTTGAGCCAAACTTGAGGACTTCAGCCCGGAACACCATCCTCAGGAGGTCCTAAGAAAGCGTGCCCACTGTGGCCGAACGGTGACTTGGTTATATACATTTTTAGGAAAGCAGAAGCTACAAGAAACATAAATTAATATCAATACATGTGAGATCTTCATTGTTTGGCTCAGGAAGGAGGGACATTTCCAAGCAAGGAAGGGGACCTGCAGGTCATAGGCAGATTCAAAGATTTCTGGACTGATAATTTGCAGTTCCTAAGGATTTGGAAAGCCAGTAGAGGAGATGCTTTGTTAACATTGGGGGGGCAGTGGGTGGAAAAGTCCAGGTCTGTTCATATGTAGATGAAGCCCTATATGTGGCAGACTTCAGAAAGGATAAAGTATCTTACAAGGATTCCCTGAGTCTGAGAATCCATAAGAGATGGCTTTGCAGGTTACAAACCTTCTTTACTTGTTATGCCAGAGTTAGGCTGGAGAGCAAACTTTAGGCTATGATGTACTAGAATGATAAAAACTTGTCTGGCGAGTCCTTATCAGGGAGTGACTCCCCAAAGCTGCTTAGTTGGATAAGAGAATAAAAAGGTCCGGTTCGGTCCTCAGGGTCCTAAGTGGGAGCACCTGGGTGGCCCGTTTCCTGTCTCCTGTTGGCTTCTATCACCAAGCACAGACCAGCAGAGAAGTGGCCTAGTGGGCTTGAGGCCCTAGTCCTGAAGCTCCCGCCCCACAGTTCTTATTCTGTGGTCACATCTGCAGCTCCCTTCCAGGAGACCCCACTGGTTCAAGCCCCACTGGTTCGAGCTGGATCTGTCACCTGCAACCACAAGAGTCCCAACCTCACCCGGCCCCACCCAATCCTAGCACCTTAGAGAGCCCCTGGATGCAGCACAGCTTCTGAAGCCACTGGTGGGAGGAGTGGAGCTCCAGCAAGCCAGATCCACCCTTCCAGAACCTGTCAACACTTAAGTCCAACAAAGAGTCATTGAAGAAGCTGAGCAACAGGATTCTCAGTGGAGGACCCCAAGGGTACCTCTAAGAGAGTTTCTCTGAAAGGTGAAAGAACGAAGCGTCTCACCCAAGACAGAGAGCTCTGTGGTCTTTCTCAGACTTCTTACCCTCAGCCACTTCCCCAGGCACTCTCTCACACCCCTGACGCAGCCAGAATCCAGGAAGTGAGGGAGGGGCAGGTGGTAAGGGCAGAGCTCACTAGGAACAGAGTCCCACCACATAACTGTTTACAACCATCACTCAGCCGGAATCCAAGGGCGGCCCAAGGGAAGCTGCCACTCATCTAGCTCCAAGAGTTGGGGTGCAGTCTTTAAAGCAGATGACTCATCAGACTCCTCACACCTGGCTGGCCTCACACTCAGAGAGAAAAACTTGCACTTGGGCCAGGCGAGGTGGCTCAAGTCTGTAATCTCAGCAATTTGGTAGGTTGTGTAATCTCAGCACTTTGGTAGGGGGAGGATTGATTGAACCCAGGAGTTCAAGATCAGCCTGGGCAACACAGCAAGACCCCTGTCTTTACAAAAACTAAAACTAAAATTAAAAACTACACTTCAGTGGAAAACAGGCATGGTCTACAACACACCTTTCCTCTTATCAAATCAGATGCTGAGGAGGCGCCTTGACCACAGAGAACACCACAAATGTCTGAGAGGAGCATAAAATGCCGATCTATATGCGCGTAGATTCTGTCTTTTCTGGTAAAGGCTAAATTCCCTCTCGCCCTATGAAACACCAATTTGTCTCCATGTGCATAGTCATTTGAAATTCCTGATCTATAATTATTTCCATTCTTGGGTCTCTTTTGAACAGGTTATCTCGTCTGCCTGGTTTCCTCATTGATTAATGAGTCAAATCTTTCACATGTGTTCACTTTTATTTTCTGTATGGGAGTCACAATCATACCTTTTTCTGAAAAGTATCTTTGAACAAACCGAAGGTCTCGGGGAGAGGGGAGGGGCTGTAATAGGGCCCAGCTCACACACCTGAGGTCTTTAGCCCCAGCTTTGGGCTACAAGACCCAGGCTCCCAGTGCTTTTAGGTGCCAGGGTCTCCCCAGAGCCCTTCCCGTTTCCAGTCCCTCTTCCTTCTCCACCTGCTGGCTTCAGTGGCTCAACCTGGCACTCAGTGTGGCCTCCCGCTGATGGGAGAGGTCCTCAGGTATGTGGTCTCAGATTGGGTCTGTGATCTGTAGGGTCTAGGTGGGTAGTCAGGTGTCCCAGTATGGTGGGTGTGTGCATATTCATGGTGCCCTCTCCCTTCCTTCCTCTCTTTTTCTCAAACAGCTCCATGTGGTAGCATTTGCTCTTTGTGTCCCAAACCACAAGCTAGGCTTAAGGGGCAGAAGAAGTGCGACACACTTCCACACAAAAAAGGAAGCCAGGGCAGACTTTCTAGCATCCTACCCGCTCCCTGCAGAGGCCATGATTAAAGCAGAAAGACCCTGTCTGCTCTCCTGTCTCTGCCCCGTTAGCTCAGAGGCACTTACCTGAGCCCAAATGTGGCACATGGGTGTGTTTTGTTTGGCATTCACCATGGTTCTTTTTCTTTTCACATCTTAAAATTGGGAATTTTCACTTAGATATCTGGATTTAAATTTTGTAAACCCTTTAAAAAAAAAACAACCCTACATTTCTGACTTTTCCTGACTTTTTGCTGGCCTTTCTATGACAAGAGAATGCAGGACAGTCACCAGCATCAGCCACCACTTTGGACACAGTACAGGCTCTCTGCTTCATCACAGCCTCAAAATTCACCCATGCCCCTGTTTCTCCACGCCTGTCTGCCTCCTATGTACATCCAAGGCTCTCGTCAGGGTCCAAGAACACCTCCACAGATTGATAGCTCCTTGGTCAGTCTCCCCAACCTGAGGATGGGTATTTTCTCCAGATACTAAGTCTTGGGAAACTCCCTTCATCTCCCAGGTAAGCACGGTCACAGGTCATGCCTAACCCAGGCTCAGAATGTTTGCATGCCCAGAACTCACAGTCCATGGGCTCCAGTGCTGATGACCTGTGGGCCACCTCAGTCCAGGTATGTACAGCTGCGATCCGACCACAGGTTCACGTCAGGCCAGCTCAGGCCAATTACACCATGGAACCTGGCTGCTGAGGGCTCGAAGAGCAAGCTGTGACTCCCCCAAGTCCACCCTGGAAAGCACCAGGCCTAAGAAATCTTCCATTCAGATCAGTACTGGGACCGGCCCAGTCCCAGGACATGGGTACACTCACGATGTTCATGAGGGTGAGGACATAGTTCTGCACATGTTCCTTGCCGTGGAAGCGAACCACTGAGTCGTCCACCGCCAGCAGCACCTCGATACTGTAGCTGCCCGGCGTGGCGTGTCGCCGCTTCCGCTCCACTTCACCCAGTTGGTCCCCCACCAGGCCCAGCAGGTTGGGAAGGTCGCCCAGGCCAAACGCTGGAACCAGGATGGAAAGAGAGTGAGGTCAGACCCACACGAGGGACTGCCACCATGAAGTCGCCCGCCATCCACCTCTACCCCCATCACAGGTGCCCCTGTTCCTGCCTCTCTAAGCCAAAAGAGCATGAGGGGTTATTCCACACAGCGCAACTCATCAGCATGGGCCTTCTTCCTGCCACAAGGGCATGGCTAAGTCTCTGAGGCAATGAGTAGCAGAGGGAAGAGGACTGGCCAGGGTCGGAAGCCCAGGTTCCAATGGCCACTCGTCCTGTCTCACTGAATGTCCTAGGCCCAATCCCTTCATTTCTCCAGGCCTCCTCTCCTGTAGCATGGGGATGTACCATCCTTGACCTCTTGCCCCACAAGGCTACTGCAGAATACAAAAGTGGCAGTGGGTAGTAACACCCTCAAGAAGGAAAAAAATGGTGGTGTCACTGGGCACCATGCAGGGCATTTGAGGAGCCCCTAGAGAATTCCTGTGAACCCTTCAAATCCATCCTACACATTTCCAGGAGCCCCAAATTTCACCATCACTTCTTTGCCCTTTTGGCTAAAAGTAAAATATTTACTCATTTAACTGGCATTTATAAAAACTTGCGTCATTGGCCAGGCACGGTGGTCACGCACCTGTAATACCAGCACTTTGGGAGGCAGAGGCAAGAGGATTACCTGAGTTCAGGGGTTCAAGACCAGTCTGAGCAGCTGGTGAAACCTCTTCTCTACAGTAAATAAAAAATTTAGCTCTGTGTGGTGGCACACACCTGTAGTCCCAGTTACTTGGAAGGCTAAGATAGAAGAATCACCTGAGCCCAGAAGGTTGAGGCTGCAGTAGCTGTGAGCGTACCACTGCACCTCCAGCCTGAGAGACAGAGTGAGACTCCAACTTGAAAAAAAAAAAGTAAAGCAAACTAATCTAGGATTTATCAAACTTTTTCTGTAAAGGACCAGAGAGGAAACATTTTGAGCTTTGTGGGTCATATGTTATCCGGCACAACTATCCAATTCTGCTGGTAAAGTGCAAGATCAGCCACAGATGATGTGTAAACACATGAGTGTATGCTCCAATAAAACTTTGTTTACAAAGAAAGGTGGCAGACTATATGTGGCCCTGAATTTTAAATGTACTGACCCCTAATCTAATCTAATCCAATCGAATCCTTACAACAACTCTACCAAGTTACTGTCCCCATCATACATGCGAATCAACTGAGATTCAAAGATGTTAAGTAACTTGTCCAGGTCTGCCAGAATCAAAAGTCCATGCTTTGAAGTAGCCCCATCTATACTGCCACTTAGAATGAAGAGCGGAGCAACCTCTGTTGGGGTAGTGGAGTGAGGGTGCGTGAGAACACTGCAGGGAAACCTAAGACAGAACAGGAGGTTGGGGTCTCTCAAGGAGGCTTTAGAGACTTAACACAATGACTTTCCCACCATCCCATCCTGAAGTACACTTGTACCATTGATTTCTAAGAACGTTCATTTATCCAGTCCTTTGAGAGCCCCCAGAAAGGAGACTGGAACCAGGTATTAAGGGGTGTGGCACAGGAGGGGTCCTGCACTTACTAAATAGATGGGCAGGGGGTGAGTGATAAGGGTGGGGCATCAGCTGGTTACAATATAGGCATGTCAAGGGCTACAGCAGGACTGGCCAGGGAAGGTTTCCACACCAGCTGGAAGAGACCTACCAGCTGGGGTAGGCTCTGGAAAGCGGACACCTAAACTGGGCTGAGCAGGAAGCATGGGGAGATGAGGGTCCCACGCCTGCAGAGTCCACTGAGACTGCGTTCCCCACGGAGAAAGTGCATGGAGACCATCCACCCCATGGGTGAGGCTCGGGGATGCTTCCACAGGTACCTCTGCAGAGGCCAAGTTCTGCCTCTATGCTATCTCCCGACACAGGTACTCGGGGACCAAAATCTGAAGACAGGGAACAGGAGCTCAACACTACTGTTTGGCTTTAGTCTCTTTTGTCTAGGGGCGCTGTAGGCAAAGGCAAAAGGTAGTAAACTCAAGAGTGGAACAATGTGTGGCCACAGGCCTGCTGAGGAAATCCCCTGGGCAGACTCATGGCCCAGGGTGAGGGGCTGGGGTGGGTTTCACCCTCACCTGCCCCTGAGGCAGCACCTCTGGGCAGCCCACACCACACACAGATCCCAGTGGCCCTGGTGTCTGAGGCCCATGGTGTGTGTGGCATGGTGTGTGTGGCAGCCCACAGATATATTACTGGGGGAGAGGAGGAAGGAAGCCCAGAGCAGAGGAGAAGGGACAAGGCCCTCTACATGGGGTGGGGAGAGTAAATAACAATTCACCCCAGTACATGAGCAGTGCCCAGAAGTTTAAGTGCTGCAAGTGGAATTATGAACTTGACCCCTCAGAGCCCTCCCTGCCAGGGTTGTCAAAAGGAGGTCTACCTGACTTACCCTAGGTCACATAGCAAGTTAATGGCAAGAGCCTAGAATGTATACTCAAGCCTCCTCCCTCATTACCACACTCTATCAGGGCCCACCCAATCTCTCTCAGCAGACATTGAGGGGACCTGGGGAGGTCAGCTGACATCAGCCATAGACGCTGGGGATGCACCAGCCACACGCTCTGCTCTGTGTCCCTCATTCTCCAGGCCAGGAGTAGGTAACCCTTGGGGCAGGGCAGGCCAGCCCGCTGGCCACTGGGAGGCTTCCATGAGCCCACCCAAGAAACCCCAAGCAAACATAAAATGGTCCAGCTGCTTTGAAAACCCAGTTGGCAGCTCCCCAAGAAGTTAAACCTGGAGTTACCATATGACCCAGGAACTCCACTACTAGTACACACCCAAGAAACCTGAAAACAGGTTGGCATAAAACCTTGAATGTTCATAGCAAATTTTTTTTTTTTTGAGTTGGAGTCTCACTCTGTCGCCCAAACTGGAGTGCAGTGGCATGCTCCCAGTCACCACAGCCTCGACCTGCTGGGCTCCGGTGATCCTTCCACCTCAGCCTTCCAAACAGCTGGAACTACAGGCGCGCGCTACCACACCCGGCTTATTTTTTGATTTATTAATGAGATGAGGTCTCGCCAAGTTGCCCAGGCAGATCTCGAACCTGCGGGCTCAGGCAATCCGCTCACCTCAGCCTCCCAAAGCATGGGATTACAGGCTGAGCCACCGAGCCTGGCAGCAAATTATCATAATAGCCAAAAGGTGGAAACAACCTAAATGTCCATCAACAGATGGATGGATAAATACATGTGGTCTATCCATCCCCTGGAATATTACCCTGTCATAAAAAAGAGTAAAGTATTAATATGTGCCATAACACAGGTGAGCCTTTGAAACACGTTTCGTGAAAAAAACCAACCATGAAAGGTCACATTCTGTATGATTTCATTTATATGAAATGTTCTGAATAGAAAAATCCTGTTTAGAAAGATAGAAAGTGAACGAGTGGCTGTCGGGGGTTGGGCGGGGGAAGACAGGTGTGACCACTAATAGGTACAGGTTTTGTTATGGAGATGATGAAAATGTGCTGGAATTAGATGGTGGTTGAACAGCACTGTGAATATAGTTTTTAAAAAACCAACTAAATTGTATAATTTTAAATGGTTAAAGTGGTGAATGCTATCTCTTCTATTATTATTATTATTATTATTATCATTATTATTATTATTTTGAGTCTGGGTCTCACTCTGTTACCCAGGTTGGAATGCAGTGGCATGATCATGACAATCACATCTATCACAGCTTCAACCTCCTGAGCTCAAGCGATCCTTCCACCCCGCCTCCCAAGTAGCTTGATCTACAGGTGCGTGCCACTACACCCAGCTACTTTTTTTGCTTTTTACAGAGACGAGGTCTCGCTATGTTGCCCAGGCAGGTCTTGAACCCCTGGGCTCAAGCAATTCACTCGCCTCAGTCTTCCAAAGTGCTGGGATCACAGGCATGAGCCACTCTGCCGGGCTCATTTTTTGTTTTAATGCAGCAGCAGCTGCCCTGAGGCCCAGCATGGCTGGTTGCCCCTGACAGAAAGCACTGCCCTGGTTTGTGTCCTCCAGAGGGACTTGGGGGTGAGGAAAGAGTTCCAGAGAGCAGGTTCGTGGGTTGCAGAAGGAGAGGGCAGCATTAAGAGCAGGTAGGATCCAGGCACTGTCTTGAAGGCCAAGGCAGGACCCACAGGGTGAGGGCTGGCTCACGCCTGGCAGTCCAGCCACAGGAACTCCTACCTTTAGACTGAATAGTTTGATTTCTCACCAGAGCCCTAGGGAAAAAAATCACCTAACTCTTCTTTGGGGCCCATCAAGGATATGTGAGTGTGAGTGTATGCATGTGTGTAAGAATGTGTTTGAGAGCATGTGAATGAGTGTGTGTGTGTGTGTGTGTGTAAGGGTGTGTCACTATGTGTGAGAATGGGTGGATGTGACATGAGAGAGCATGTGAGTGTGTGGAGGGGTGTGTGGCTGTGTTTGCATCAGTGTGTGTAAGTATGAGTGTATGGGTGGGGTAGGTGTGTGTTTGTGCCAGTCTGAGAGTGTGTGTGCATAAGTGGGTGTGAATGTGGGTATGGGTATGTGTGCCCACATATGCCTTCTTCAGGAAGCAGCCAAGGCCATACCCTGATTGCCAAGGATCGTACCTGCACCCCAAGTGCACTGGTACAATTCAGACCTCCTTACAGTAGAACCTGGGGGCCAGGAAACCCCCTGACTGCCTTGACTCAACAAGAAAAAATCCCGTGCGATGGAGCCTCTGATACCTCCCCTCCCTCCTTCCTCCAAGAAAGTGAACCACAGCCCCGAGGGATGCACCGCTGTGAGTGACACAGAGATGGAGATTTGGCATCCGTTCTCCAGGAGCCCTGGTCTGGGTGGAAAAAGGGGACCGACCCAGGAGACTCTAGGATATGAGGGATCAAGGAAAGGGACACATGCACAGGATGGGGACAGACCGAGATGGGGAGGTACCTGGTCTGAGGAGATTCCTCAGAAGCTTTTGGCTGCTTGCTGGGTGTGCTCTGAGCCACCAGCAGTGGCCTACGGGCATCTCTCTGTGTGCCCAGACCCCAAAGCGCTGAGATGAAGACTTTCGTCTTCATCGAGCAGGTGACATGGAGACAAGTGCATCCAGAAATGCTTCTCTGCACGCTGGGCTCAGAACCATGATGGGTCTTCAAATAAAAGTGCAAGTCACAGGTTGCCAAGAAAGCCCTCTCTTGCCCCTTATCTTTTAAGAAAGGAGCACAGATAGGCCAGGGCCTGGCCCTACTCTCTGGCCCATGGGAGTTCCAGCCTGGCAGCCTACGCGAGAAAGAGCTGCATCCATGTTTCTTGGCCTGAACTCCAACTATGTGTGCTCAGTGGTTTTAGCTCCCCCGCCAATGACCATGATGGCCGGTTCCAGGCCTATAGCCCTGGAGCTGGACTTCTCCAAGGTCTCTTCCCAAGAGGGTGGGTTTATGGTCTTTTGACTCAGAACTGGCTTCACATAAAATGAAGCCCAAAGGAAACTTGCCCCTGCTCCAGCCATGGTGGAGGGTAGGGTGCCCCAAAACCCACACAGGCCTGCCCGCCCCAGCCCAGGCCTGTAGAGCCCTTCACCACCAGGGTGCTGTAATTTCTTTCTTTCTTTTTTTTTTTTTTTTTTTTTGAGTTGGAGTCTCACTGTTGCCCAGACTGGAGTGCAGTGGCTGCTCCCGGCCACCGCAGCCTCGACCTCCTGGCTCTGGCGATCCTTCTACCTCAGCCTTCCAAGTAGCTGGAACTACAGGCGCACACTACCACGCCCGGCTAATTTTTTTTATTTATTGTAGAGATGAGGTCTCGCCTGCCCAGGCGGGTCTTGAACCCGCGGGCTCAGGCAATTCACTCACCTCAGCCTCCCAAAGACGCAGGATTACAGGCTGAGCCACCGAGCCCGGCTAGGGTACTGTAATTTCTTAGGAGTGATGCTTGGAGAGCAGCTGGAGCTTCAAAGGATACAATGCATGTGGGGACAACTGGTCTCCAGGTATTCCCTCATGCGGGGACCCTGGCACAAGGGTGTGGGCTGCTCACCGCCACATTGCACCCAGGGCATTCTCATCTTCTCTTGGCCAAAAGGTCATCATGACAAAGCTGTTTCACTATTAAGTTGGCTGGGGTCCAAGACCAGCACCCATCACATCTACTGTTTCATTTGTTCAGCCATGCCTCCTGAGTGCTGTCAGCATGGGGGCCCTTGTGCTAATCACTGGAGTGAAGTGACAACCCTGCCCTCAGGGGGCTCCTACTCTAACATGTCAGTTAATAACAATACTGTAATGACAGCTACTATTTATCAAGGACCTACTGTATACCAAGTTCCATGCTGGAATTTTCGCATACACCATCATTGTTGCATGTAACAACCTTAACAAGTAAACCTTGGTCATCTCATTTTGCTGATTAGGAAAATGAGGCTCTGAGGCTTAAGTAACTTGCCTATGGTCACACAGCAGACAGAGCTGGAGGCAGGATTTTAAAATAGTCTATTAGGCTGAGTGCGATGGCTCGTGTTGTAATCCTAGCACTTTGGGAGACCAAGGCAGGAGGTTTGCTTGAACCCAGGAGTTCAAGACCAACCTGGGACACATAATGAGACCTTGTCTCTATGAAAGATGTAAAAATTGACCACTGTTTTTGTTAAGCACTGGCTAGGTCATGTGTTCATTGGGCTACGGCTGCTATGTTTTCCTAAGCTTTGGACCCCCTCTCCTACCTTGGGGAAGTGAATCTCCTCTTTCTCTCTCTAATTTACTTTTCAAATAAACTATATCTTCCAATCTAAAAAAAAAAAAGTCAAAATTAGCCCGTTGCAGTGGCACACACCTGTAGACCCAGCTACTTAGGAGGCTGAGGCAGAAGGATCACCTGAGCCCAGGAATTCAAGGCTGCGATGAGCCATGATTGTGGTACTGTACTCCAGCCTGGGGGACAGAATGAGACCCCCCCAATTCAAAAAAATAAAAATAAAGAAACTCTTGGACACAAAGCCGATCCTGACATCCTGACTCCAGGCAGCCTCTCTACAAGTGCCCTAAAACTTCCTTCCCCTGGCTTCTACAGGCTCGAGTTGGTTTTTCAAGAAAAGAACTAACTGCAGCACTTCTACCTTCTGCCTTGGCTAGAAGTAGCCTTGGGAAGCAATGGTGAGCCCGCAGAGATCTCTGGAGTCCCAAGGACCACATTTCGGGACACAAGAGGTTCCTCTGGCCCCTAACTCCTAGAATCCACTGGGATCTCTCTGCTGTTACAGAAAATCTATTCAGCCCAGTCCCATTTTATAGAGGGGAAGACTGAGGTCAGACATTGAGAGCTCACAGTCAGAAGTGATCTGAAAATACCCCAGAGGTGGAGACAGAAGTAGCACTTGGGGCCCCTGCCCACAGCCTACCTTCATTGTGAAGGTCCCCTTGAGGCTCTGCCCACTCCTGCTGGATGGCCTCCTGGCGGTATACCACGTGTGTCCTCCCGCTGGCCTCCTGCTCCTGCTGCCCCCTCTCCAGAGGCTCAATGAAGTAATCGGTGTTCTCCGTGCGGATGAGACCTGCCTGAACCAGGAACATGGTGGGCAGGAGGAAAGAGGTGGGAGAGGACAGGCATGAACACACAGTACACGCAAACAGGTGAGCATCTGTGAGTGCAAACGTGTGTCCCCACACTTGGGTGCCGGCTCTTCCTCCAGAGCCCTGGTTCTCAAGTGGGGTCTCAGGAGCCCTGGGATTCCAGGAAGTCCTATGGAGGCCCAGGCAGGGAAATGTGGGGAGGTGGTAGAGAGGCTGAGCAGAGGAGCCCACCCCCATTTCAAGTGAACAGATCCACATTTACCTACTGTGTACCCAGGGGTTCCACATACAATTTCTTTTAAACAAAGGGTTCTGTTGCTTTTAAAAGGGCAGAGGCACAAAAGCCATTGCCACAAGGGAGATGCCCACACACCAAGGCACTGCATTCCCAAGCATATCACATGGGCGAGGCAGGCAGAAGATCCTAGGGCCTAGGAACCAAGGTGGGTGCTGGGTCCCCACTCCGTATTATTAAAAGTTTAATGCACGTGGGGGGTGAGAGGAAAGCCGCTAATGCTCATTGATGATAAAGGAGCCAGGACAGCACAGCGGGAGTGCATGTTCTGCCTTTAATCCATTTTTTCCCTGCATCAAAATCAAAACATGACCTTTAAAAAAATCAGGTATTGGCCTTGGAGATAAAAACATAAAAACACCTTTGGCCAAGCCCAGCAAAAGTGTTAGTATCCCCCTCATGAAGGCAGTAATCACAGGGGCCAATGAAACATCCAACTAGATGTGAGTTAATATATGTGCACCGACTGGGCGTGGTGGCTCAAGCCTGTAATCCCAGCACTTTGGGAGGCCGAGGCGAGAGGATTGCCTGAGCTCAGGGGTTCAAGACCAGCCTGGGCAATTTGGTGAGATGTGGTAGCCAGGTGTGGTAGCACGTGCCTGTAGTTCCAGCTACTTGGAAGGCTGAAGCGAAAGGATCGCCAAAGCCCAGCAGGTTGAGGCTGTGGTGGCCATGAGAGTGCCGCTGCACTCTAGCCTAAGCGACGGAGTGAGATTCCAACTCAAAAAATATATATGTGTGTGTGTGTCTGTACATGCACAGGAGCACGTACACACACATTATTTCTATAACATAGTAAGACCAGCCCAACTGCCACAATGTATGGAAAATAGTAGGTGATATTTAACAAATGAGTGTTTGTCAAATTCCTTCACTTATCCAACAAACATTTGTGGAGTGCCTACTACGTATCAAGGGCTGGGAGTGCAACTGTCAACACAAAGCAGTGACTGAAGGGACCTTTATTATTATTATTTTGAGTCAGTCTCACTGTCACCCAGGCTGGAGTGCAGTGGCATGCTCATGGCAACCTCAGCCTGGACCTACTGGGCTCAGGCCATCCTTCCACCTCAGCCTTTCAGGTAGCTGAAACTACAGGCATGTGCCACAGTGCTCAGCTAATTTATTTGATTTATTATAGAGACGAGGTTTCGTCAAGTTACCCAGGCTGGTTTCAAACCCCTGGGCTCAGGCAATGCCTCTCACCTCTGCCTCCCAAAGTGCTGGGATTACAGGTATGAGCCACCACCACACCCAGACTAAAGGGATCATTTTTATAAATCGACTGAACCTTCAGCATTTAAATTAGAAAGGCAGTGACTTTATGCAACTCAATTCTACCAGTTTTCCCACCTTAGCCTGTTCTGAGTTTGCCTCCTAGGGAGCCCCCTCCAAGACTGAACATCCACCACTAAACCCTCAGCAGCAGCCAACTTTTTTCATGCCACTTTCAGCTATTTCTGTTGATCAAACTGAAAACACCAATTTGGATCTAAACCAAGATGAAGCCAGGCATGGTGGCTCACACCTACCATTCCAGTATTTTGGGAGGCTGAGGTGAGTGGATCACTTGAGGCCAGGACTTCGAGACCAACCTGAGCAACACAGTGAGACCTCATCTCTAAAAAAATAAAATTAACCTGGCACAGGGGCCCATGCCTGTAGTCCCAGCTACTCAAGAGGCTGAAGCAGGAGGAACACTTGAGCCCAGTTCAAGACTGCAGTGAGCTATGATTGCACCACTGCACTCCAGCCTGGGCAACAGAGCAACTAACCCTGTTTCTTCTAAACAAACAAACAAATCAAGATGACTGCTTTCTGTGCCTCACCAATAAGCCCAATCAGGAGGCCAAGAAATGTTCTAGGGAAAAACAGCAATATTATCAGAGCAAGTCTGAGGCTTTTCTGCAACCATTTTATCAGGTGATATTCAATTGTCTGCAAAAGTTCTGCTGTGCTTATTAAAACGTCATTGTCAAACATATACTGAGCACATATTCACTCATACAGAGCACCCTGATGTGCCTGTTTGACCAGGGGGAAAGAGATAAATCTGGGCCAGCATTTTGCTGGAGGAGACAAGGGTGGCCAATGTCCTGCTTGGTGCTATGGCCAGGTGTGGACATGTGTCCCAAAGGAGGTGACATTTATGGGTCCTGAAGGATGGGAATCCATCGGTATCCAGGTTGTAAGGGCCAGAAATTCAACTTGACCCACCCCCTCCCCCCACCCTGGCCAGAAGGGGAACGTGCTGGCTCCACAACACAACACTCAATAGCAGGGGCAGGGACTGGAACTGAAAGAACAAACCGCCTTGCTTCCTGCCACCCCTCCCCTCAGCACCCTCTGCATCAGCTTTACTCTCCCAGACAGGCCATAATATGTCTCCTGTCTGTGCAGGCACATCACATTGCCACTAGAGACAAGGAGACTTTCCCTTCACAGTCCCATCCACACAGTCTAAGGATGGGCTGTGGGTATGGATAGTCTGGGTTGAGTCACACGGTCACCCAGGGACTGGCAGCCCCTGCTAGACACCCAGGGCCAGAGGAAAAAGGGAAAAATTACCAGAATGGCAAAAGAAAACCATCTGAGAGGGAAAGGGTATACCAGGTAGAAGAACCCCCTGCCCTGGGCAATGGTGTGGATGCATGGACAGCATTGGGGATCAGAGAAGTGTTTAGGCTCATGTGCAGAGGCTCAGGCCAAACCTGGACAAAAAGTGGTCAAATTCCAGGGCCTCCGCCACTGCAGGCCTGCAGAATCCCCCAGAGGAGGTCTGTCTTCCAGGGTTTGCGAGAGCCTCGGGGCAGAGGGCCAGCTGGTGGCCCCCAGACCCAGGGCACATTTCCAAAGCTACTGCAGCTCTGTGGGCATGAGGAGCTGGGAGGAGACACTCAGCCAAGCCCCACGCCTGGTTACCTGTCCCCACTCTGCACCCCCAGTTGATACCCAGCAGGACTGTTCCTGACCCTGGACCAAGCAAAGCAAGAGATAGCACGAGTGAGAGGCTACGGTCAGACAAGCCAGGTTGGCCCAGGGTGGTAGCCTGTGCTATCTCAGTCCATCACACCTCTTGAAGCAGCCTAGCAGAGAATTCTCCAGTCAGGAAACCGGAGGCTCCACTCAGCCTCTCCTATACACCAGGCAACTCACCAAGGCCTCCGCTGTTTTGAGACCTGGGTAACCAACTGCACGAAGGGGATCCTTCAAGCCTCGCATTCCTCTCCTCACAGCCCAATGACTCCATGTGGCCACCAGACTGCATTGCTTATATGAGGCTGCAGCTTCCAGAACGATCCAGGGGGCACAGGACTGGACTGCAAGCCACTGCCTTCCAGCCAACCACCTCCTTCCATTCCACCATCATGGACCATAGACCTTTCAAGATTCTCACACTTGTCCCAGTCTGAGGCATTATACCTCAGCAACATCTCCAATTAATGAACCTCTAACTTCTGCTTGGATATCTCCAGTGACAGAGAGCTCCCTCCCTCGCTCCTAACATTGTATTGAGCGGAAACATACTTCCCTACATTCTATCATTTATGAACAGTCTTATTATCACTGCTATTATTCACAACAGTACCTGCCACTGTTATTTATTTATTTATTTATTTGAGTCAGAGTCTCACTCTGTTACCTAGGTTGGAGTGCAGTGTCATGCTCATGGCCACTGCAGCTTTGAGCTGCTAGGCTCAGGCAATCCTTTCACCTCAGCCTTTCTAGTAGACGGAACTACAGGCATATGCCATCACCCTTGACTAATTTTTTTTTTTTTTAGTTGGAGTATCACTTTGTTGCCCAGGCTGAAGTGCAGTGGCACACTCATGGCCACCCCAGCGTCGACCTTCTGGGCTCCAGCGGTCCTTCCACCTCAGCCTTCCAAGTAGGCAGAACTGCAGGTGCATGCTACCATGCCTGGCTAATTTTTTATTTTTTTATTGTAGAGATTAGGTCTCACCAAGTTGCACAGACTGGTCTTGAACCCACAGGCTCAGGCAATCCATTCTCCTCGGCCTCCCAAAGTGCTGGGATTACAGGCTGAGCCACCAAGCCTGGCCAATTTTTTTTTTTTTTAATTTTATTGTAGAAACGAGGTCTTGCCAAGTTGCCCAGGCTGGTCTCAAACTCCTGGGCTCAGGCAATCCTCTCGCCTCTGCCTCCCAATGTGTTTATATATATTATCTTATTTCACTTTTACAGTCCTATGAGATAGGCACTAATAGTAGACCCATTTCATGGATGAAGAAATAGAGATTCAGAAAGGTTAAGTAACTTGCCCAAAGTCACTGAGCAAGTAAGTGTCAGCACCAGAACCAGGGCCCAGTTCTGTATAGCTCTTAACCACAGTGCTGGGTTACTTCAGGTCCAGACCTGCTTCTGCCCTTGGAGGCCACTTGGAGCAAGGAGGGACTCCTCTCCTAGTGCCACCTGCAAATCCCTGGGTCTCTGGTCTGAACTTGTAGAGCAAGGATGTTCACTTCCCACCTCTGGCCAACTATTCCCCCCCACCCATGGAAATCAGCCCACCTCCCACTATGGATGTGAGAACAGAGAGGGCAGCACACAGCCCATAAATGAAGCGGTCCCCTCCCACGCTCCAAGTGACCTCCTACACCCACCCCCACACAAGCCATCCTCATCACACCCTCAGTTCTCCTCTACCAGGCTGGCTGCCCGAGAATCC